CTTGCCTTCTTTGTACTTTTAGTTGGATCTCTCTTTCATGTATTAGTGTTCATAATGTGCTGGTTTACTAATAGTAAGAGTAGTGGATCAGGTTTCAGGACAGGCAAAGATTATTTCCTTATTCTTTTTAACATCATAAGGAAAGAGCAACCGAGAAAGAATGAAGGAAGTTATTTGTTGCATATGAAAGGTTTGCTAGTGCAGATATTTTTCACCTCCAGATGATGCTATGAGATGCTACTGAATTTACATAACTAATGAGGACATACATATGAGGACGTTTGTGGTATGATGTTTTCCACTAGTTTGTTTACAAAATAAAAGGCTCTACTTCCATATCGAATTAAAAATCAACTCTCAATAGTAAACACATAACAACTTAAAATATGTTTGTCACTGGAATCAAAATTTGATACAAATTTCGATATCTCATTTCTTTATTCGTTAAGACTCTGGAAAAATATTTTATTTTATGCTGCTGTTTCTTCTAAAGTATTGAAGAGAAGTGAACACAAAGTATCCCTGATTTTAATCTTCTTTTACTTTCTTTTACAGAGATGAGTTGATAAAAAGTTATAATGCAAGCATTAGATTCATTGCTTCACAAAGTGGACTTATTAAATGGCAGTACATATCTGATTTTGATGATGAAAATGAAACATTGTAAGTTATATAATAGTTTAATTTATTTTTTATAGTTGTGCATATCTCACGCCTCTTCTTTCACATCTTTTAATTTTAAGTTAATTTGATGTTTACACATTTTGAAATTTATATTAAACCCTTGATCTACAATTATAAGATTTACATAATATTTTAATACATGTTTAATGTTGCTTCTATTTTTTTCTTCAGAAACTTTGGTGACCTAAACTCCAATGGCATTCATGAGTCTTGGTACAAAAGTGCTATTCTTCAGCATCAAGTGGACCCAGAATCTCTCTTTCTTTCAGTGCCGTTTGAAGCTGGTATTGTATAAAAAAAAATGCAAATTGCATGAAGTAAATGAAATTCCCTAAATAAAATTTTTTTGGTCAAAATTGAACTGTGATTGCGGATTGATTATTAAAATGATATTCAAATGTTCTGAAATGAGTTTGAAATTATTTTTGTAACAACAAAGTTGACATCCAAATTGTAAACAAAAACACAAATTTAAAATTTTTATAGCAATTTTTGTAGATATTTTGTAATTGGTTTATGTAATTTTGAAATTTGGAGGTACATCTCACACTCAGTGATGGTCTGTATCTCTATTCTCTTTTAAAATTTATTTAGTCTGTAGTAGTTCTATTTTGTGATTATTTGTGTCTTTTTATTTGATTATTTCTTGAATTAATCTTTTTATACTTAAGAAAATTAATATTCTTTATTCTTTCAGTTTTATTGATGTGTTTAATTTTTGTAGGTTCAAAAGATGGTCCAATTTTCATGACAGCTAGTCATGCCATATTTTCCCGTGATGGTGGTAAAGATGCTGCTGTGGCTGTGGCAGGCTTTGAGTTTGAACACTCCACATTTTATAAGAAATTTATGACAGTAACTTCTGATGTAAGCATTTATTGCTTTAACATTTTTACTTCACTACTTTTGAAATAATATTATTATATATTCACAAATTTGCATTGCATTGAATTATGAGTATTTTATGCAGTAGGTCCTGAACAAATTAATTAATTAGGCTATGTACTTGATGATGATGATGATGATGATGATGATGATGACTCACGTAATATGAATAGATAAGTAAAATAAGACCAACTATTTGTGCTCAACTAATCTTTCTGCTCCAAAAACTATGATATGTTTTCTTTTTCAAAGACACTTTTAAACCAATTAAATTGTTATAATCACTTTGACTTTACTTTACCCTGCTGTGCTCATTAGCTTTGATAACATTCAACTACAATTATCTTGATTTTACTTTGATTTTTGCTCAAGGGTCTCGATATATAATCCATTACCTTTTTACCTTGTATACCAACTTTGTACTTATATACCAACTCTGTACAGAATTGCGGTTCCTGGAAGTTTAGTTGGTTGAAAC